GCACCGCGAGCCTGGCCTGCACGAGCGGCCTTGCGGCGCATCTCAGAGTCGAGAGGTCAAGGAAAGAGCTGCAGGTGGAGGCCGAGGCCGCGCCGCAGCGAGCAGAGCAGCGAGCAGAGCGAGAGCCGCAGCGAGCCCGGAGCAGTCTTTCTTGCTGCTGCAGGCTGCGCTCCCAAAGGCCTCTGCAGAAGCGCTTCCCTTCCGAGGGAGCCTTTGAAAGGCTTAGCGATTTTACCAGGCCTCCTCCTTGTTTGCGGCCTCGAAATTGGGGCCGCTGAAATATCCCAAAGCGCGGAGCTATGCTAAGGCGAAGCCATGGTGCGTCAAAGCGCGCGGCTTGCTTTAAAGGACCTTCGGGTTTTCGTTGTGCCTTAAGGCTTAAGGTATAGAGTCTCAGAGCAGAAGAGCCAAAGCCACGAGCTTGCACGACGAAGGCTGAGTGCAAGAGCAAGAGCCCAAGGCTACGAAGTGGAACAACTACGTACAACTACATGCATCCTGAGCCCTAAGCCTTGATCTGGCAGCTCTGTGTCACCCCAAAAAGTGGAGTCTGAATGTGCAGGGTGGGTTTCTCGGCCTGCACGGCCCAAGGTATCGAAGTCCCCGTTCTCAGAGATTCAGACTAGGAGACAACTAGGGTGACTTGCACACTAGGAGCGCTGTGGACGCGAGCGGAGCCCCTCTTATCCAGTTCCCCATGCACGGCGCTCCGGCTTCCGAACACAAAACCTCTCCTTTCTCTCAAAACGGCTGCCGGCTCACTGTGCCTATAGTGCCTAGTGTGGCCTCGCTGGCCCAGGGCCTAGACTCCTGGAGTGCCGCTCCACGGCCAGGCGGCCAGGCCAGGCCCAGGCGATGGCTTCATCACAGTACGCGACCGGCGCGACCGCAGCGCTGCAGAACCTACGAGTAGACTCCGATCCGATCCCATGCTCTTCGCAGGGGCGCAATGCACAGCAAAAGAGACTCGCGCCCAGCACGCAGGGGCCAGAGAGGCAGGGGAGGGTAGAGGGCGGGGCTGTATGCACTACGCAGGAGACTGTCGGCACTGACACGCGAGGAGCAACTGCAATGACTGTAATGTGAGTGAGAACCCTGACTTCCGTGGAGAGGAGTTGCGTGCATTGCCGGATGCAGCGTTCGCAGAGAAGAGAACTGGCCGTGGCCGCTCCTTTTGGGAAACGCTTCTGCTTCCACTCTTGGAGTTCAATGAGAATGCTTAAGGCACCCCTCGTCTTAAGCCTCAGCCTAAATCCCCTAAGGCTAAAGAGGCAAAGGCCTGTATCCTCTTTAGAGCTATAGGCTAGACTGGCTGGACTCCACGACGGCTTGTGACTGTGCGGCTTTTAAAAGCGTGTGGTGTGAGAGCTCAGTGGAGCTCCAAGAGCCTTCTTGGCCCCGAGAAAGCCCCGGCGTCGGAAGAGCGCGGCGGCGTGAAGGGGCAAAAAGGCTTGACAGGGATTCAAGGAAGAGCTTCCCTCAGAAAAGGCCACGGTCCGTAAGGCGAAGCGGGCCAAAGGCGCGGCAGAGGCAGAGGCTCGAAACGGCTTCAGCAAAGCTCGGCCGTGAGCGCCGGCTGAAGGGGCCCAGGTGCTGGGGACCGCTGCAAGAGCCACGGCATGAGCCGTCCGGCGCAGACAGCGCCTGCGATGCCTGTGATGCCTGTGACACCTTTTTCCCGGCCCCGGCCCCGGCCCCAAACCGTCCAAACCCAAACCCGCACCGCGGGTACTGCGCTCGCAGTGCTCGCAGTGCTCGCACGCAGCAGTCTCTCTCTGCCAGGCAGAAGTTGTCTCAAAAGGAACCGCCTCTGCTTGCTTGCCAGTCACCCAAAAGGGCCTCGATCAATTTGCCATCAACCGGAAGAGGTGCCAAGAGGCTGCCTTGACCCTCGAGTCAGCTTCGCGGAGCTTCCCGACCAGTTGCCGCCTGCAGGCCTCGAGAGCAGAGAGAGAGAGAGAGCACGCCCTCAGCCTCAAAAGCCAGTGTTCTTCAGATGGCCCCAGCCCCAGCTCCAGCTCCAGCTGTCTCGCGCGGCGCTCAGTTGCCGCGTGTCAGGCCTCGTCGGGCTCTCTCAGCACGAGTCTCCGGCTGCGAGCCCGGGAGCCCCCGGCTCGCAGCAGTGCCCGCAACGGCCTACGAGCACCGCACAGCACCGCACTCGCACCGCACTCGCACCCTCGCACCACGAGGGGCCGCACTTCCCAAACCAGGACCGGTGACCCGTTCACGGGATCGAGGTCACAGCCCGGCAAGATGCTGTGAGATGCTGCAGCTATGCCCGGCTATGCCGGCTATGCTATGAGCTATGGCAGCTATGGCAATGAGGGCTAGGAGCTCACGCTCACGTGGAGCAGTTCAGCAGCTCTCTTCAAGGCATGGATGGGTTTGAACCAGTCGCAACAAACGACAAAGTTGCAGCAGCAGGCGCAGGCCACATGGGCCATGTCAGAAGGCTTAGACTCTGCAGCCGACCCTCCTCAGCTCAGCGGAATTCACTGTCAGCTCACCGACAGCCCTGCTATGTGCCTGCTATGTGTGCTGCGCGCCTTAACTGCCTTGGTGGCACTCTCTTAGGCGTGACTGCAGGAGCATCTTGGAACTTGTCCTATGGAACTCGTCTGCTGATCCTGGGCAAGAGCGGAGCCAGCGGAGCAACACGCCGTGCGGAGCGCTGCTGGGTGCCGCGCTTGGCTTTCCTCGGATGCGCGAGGCCCGCACTGACCCCGCACTGAGCTAGAGCGGTGCTAGGACGTGAGTCTCAGAAGAAGGCGGAGCAGATGTGCCATTTGCTCCGCACTCGCACTGCTCGCACTGCTCACATTTGCTCCGCACTCGCACTGCTCGCACTGCTCAGAGCTTGAAAGCTCCACTCAACTACGCCGTCTTCCGTCGAATCTCGCGAGATGTCGCATCGGCAGGCCCATGTACACCCGTCGGTCGGTCCGTCCGTCGGCCCAAAAGGAGAGACCCCAAAAAAACTTGATTTTTTGCGTGCCGCGACATGCCTTTGAGGTGTTGCGAGACCCGCCGTGTCCTTTGTGGGATGAAGATTATGCAACTGCAGGAGATACCGGATCATGCCCGATTCTGGCTACAGGTCTCTCCCATTCGGAAGACATGGCTGAATCCTTCGCAGAGGATTGAATCTAAGGCATGCGGTGAATCTGGCTGTGGCGGTGTAGTGACGTTGCAGAAACTGCGACAAGACGTGGAGCCGCATATGCCGCATACGTGATACCTTCGGGACGGCAGTGGGTCATGAACGAGTGACGCACTGCTTGACTTCTGTGCTTCAGATGCTTCAGATGCTTCAGCTCCTCGGCGAAAGCCCAGCAGGGAGGTGGCCGATTCGTTGTCGAAAGGTCCGAAGATCTCAAGCCATTCCAGCAAGTCAGCAGACAAGACCTTCACAAGATCGTCACACCTTTCGGCACACGGGGCGAGAGCTTTGACCTGGGTTGAACTTGAGGACAAGTCCTGCATACCCTCTCCTTACAACAGGGGCGCCGAAGCGCAGCCATGCCCTCAAGCGTACGACTAGGGTGGTGCCTCCATCTCCATCAGAGCACCAGCAGCGGTGCACATCCGCGCCGGGATGGCCGGTGTTTGAGGGCTGGCAAAGGCCGTGTGAAGAGACAGTTCCGCTGTGACGGCGAGAGCGGTTCCAGGCGGCGGCTGCTTACCTCACGCACCTCAACGTTCGCAGGCTGCAGGTCCCACAGGTTCTGGTGACGGAACACGGGAAAAGACAGAGGTTCAGCCGGTTCAGACTCAGCCGCTTCTGAATCAGCTGCGTAGCACAGTTGGCCTCTGCCGAGCTCAGCGACAGCACACTTCGCAGATCGCCGTTGGCGATCGTAGCTCAGACCTGTCCCAAACAGGTTGACGGAGTGTGATCCGCTCTTCAGCCCGGCCCCAAATCTACTAATTAAGCGGTGCTGTGCTCAGCGGTCCCAGTCCGTCCCAAGCGCGCCTGCAGCTCACCTGTGAGCAGGCGAACAGAAAGCAAGACAGGAAGAGAGACTGAGAGAACAAAGATGTTTTTGATACATGTCTTGGCTGACACCTCCTTCGAATGTATGCGTGTTCCTCGAGCTCTCTCGTATTCGATTCATGGAAGCCATGCTGAACTGAGACACTGACACTCTTCATTGGCAGGCCGAGCGCGAGCCGCAAGGAAACGCACATGCAGGGGGCCAGACGCAATGCGGTGGGGACCAATCTTGCTCTTGTCAGAAAGCAGTCCTTTTGGCAAGAAAGCAGATCGTCAGTGCCAGTATCAGTAAGGAGGTAAGGTTGATACTCCGTCCTGGGATATTGCACGGTCTTTTGCTATCGTGCTTCTGCCTGCTGTCATTGTACTCGGTATTCCTGGTACACGGGCTTGCAAATGCAAGTCTTGTTCTCAGCAGGAGGGGCACAGTAGGAATGGCATGGGCTCCTTCGTGATCTCTGATTCCTACTGCAGCCGACTGCGACCACACGCTGTCTTTCTCAGCTCGGCCCGTAACTTCCAGTCTGAAGCGTCTGAGTCTAGGGCCTCTAGGGCCTAGGGCCAATGTAAAAGGCAGCGCAGAGCGCACGCAGAGCCCTTTCTTTCTCTGCGACATGTCCGGGTCTGAGTGCCAGATTGGCACGGCCGTGGCAGCGGACTGGGCACAAAACTGCAGACTGGGCGGAATCGTCACCTCTGGAACATGGCCTCACTAGAGCCAGAGCCAGAAGAGATCTGAGAGGTGCCGCAAGGTGGCGAGAACTGGGGCCATCACCGGGTTGTAGGCTGGCATCTGCGTCCTCGACAGAAGTTTTTGTCCCAGAGTCACTGCCGGCCCAAGGACTGTTCTCAGAGGCTGCAGCGGGTCGGTGCCAGGCCGTGCAGTGAGGACTTCCAAGCCGGTCCTGAGAGCACAAAAATGCGCCAGCTCCTCTGATCTTCATTTCGACGCCTCTCAGTCTCAGGTCTCAGTCTCTCTCCTCTCTTCATTCGTTCTTCCGAGCTACTCGGTGACCAAGAAGGTGTGCTCGAATTGGGCGGACCTCGGCAGGCCAGAGCTGAGCCCTTCCCTTTCCATTCCGGGCGCCGTTGCGCCTCTTGCCATCTCGAGTGACGGCGGTCCAGTTGTCGGGCCAGGTCCTTCTGAGAGAGAGAGAGAGAGAAGAGGCCCCCCCGCCCTTGTGCCCCGTTTCCTGTCGCCGCCGTTGCCCCCAAGGTTCAGCATGGGCTCAACGGTGAAGACCTGACTGTGGGTCGACGGCTGCCGCGCGGCCCGACACGGGGCTTCGAGGGGAGGGGCGTGGCCGGGCTTCATGATGCCCACGGCCTTGTTCTTCCTGCAACAAGGGCCAAGCAGACAAAAAGCCTTTGTCAGAAGTCAGCACAGTCACAGTCAATGCAGGCTAAAGGCCCTCCGCCGCGGGGCCCGCACTTGTAGTGGGGGACCTTCGGCGGTCCGTGGAACAACTTCCCGACGCCATGGCCGCAATACCTCCGCGCTGCAGGGCTGCATCCCCCGGTTTTGGAAGATCTCGCTCCGAGGGCTCGGCGTGGTGACGACGGCGCAGCCGTTCTTGGACGCCTGAGCAACGGAGCGGAGCGGAGCGGAAAAAACGCGAGCTCCCCCTCTGGCGCCTCTGACTGGATGGCGGCACCTGCGGCTGTGGCTTTGCTCCCCACAAAGGGGCGGCGCCCTGGTTCTAATTTTGTCCCATGCTGCGCCGCCTAAATCTCGATAGAAGGTCCCCGGACCTGGCCACATGATTGGAACCCTTCCCCCCCCCTCCCCACATTCCGCACTGTGCTCCAGACGGATCATCTGTGCTGCAGCGAAGAGGGCATTGTAGGCTGTCCTGCAAGGGTCTCTATTATTGGGCTGGGGTCGGGGGACGCACTAGCACTGGCCTTACCAGCCGCTGAGAGTCTTCATCACAATCTCCGATGAAAAAGGTCTCGTTGAGATCTCAGAGACGAAGAGGATTAGTTATGATTAGTTCCAGCTTCTTCCCGAAGGCCGCCCGGCCGCCCTCCCCCTGCGCCCTGCGGTCCGCTGAGCTGGGCAGCCGGCCTGAGTGGAAGCCTGCGCAGACCATGCACTCTGCGTGCGCACGGGCAGACCGCGCAGACTCGCAGACGGCAGCACCTTCGAAGTAGATGCTGATGTCTAAGTTCACGATGTCTCCCTCCTCGGAGGCGGCGGGGAGGCGGCAGAAGGCGGCGGCAGAGGCCGGGACGCAAGGACAAGGGCAGTGGACGGCCCGCGGCCCGCGGCCCTCGCGCCTCGCAGGGCCGGCAGTCCGGAATGCCGTGGCAAATGACCTCAGCAGCCCAAGGGCAGGGGTCTGCTGCGCTCTCCGCGATCAACGAAGCTGCGCCTCGTTAGCTGAAACGCAGAGCGTCTTGGGGAAGCGATAGTAATTCCTCAGCTGCAGCAAAGGACGAAAAGTGTGGCTGAGATGACGTCCCAGGCGCAGTGGGCTAGGGTAGATCTTGCGATCGATGCACGCCTGCCCGCATCGCCGAAGCCGAAGCATCGCCCCCGAAGTTTGGGTCCTTTAAAGGGGCCTGGTAGACCACGCGGTCGATCTCGTCCCCTGTGACGCCAGGCCGCATGAAGCGAGCAGCGGTGTCCAGAACCTGCCGTCGGCTCCGGGTGTTCCCTTCGCCGCTGCTGCGCTGCGAAAGCCTCCCGACCCAGCTTGCAGGCTCTCCGCATGGTCTCGAGGTCCTTGCCCTCCAACACGGGAACCTGGCGCACAGCGGGCCGAATGGCCCCCTGATTCTCTGGTGGCGTGTCTGTGCACTGGAGATATCAGTTGCACACATGCCATGCAAGGCAATCTCATGATCTGGTGACGTGATGACAGTGACGATGGATTTTCGGGTGATCCAATGAAAGGCCAGCCAAAGGAAAACGGCATCTGGCTTCGTAGCTGCACCTTTCCGCAGCGCGCACCCGGACTTTGCAATTCGATGCCCGTTCCAAGCCTTAATCAAGCCACACCTTGGACCCTCTGACAGAGAAGCTGTCGAAAGGGGCGTTTCCCGGCACAGTCAAGGTACAATGGCGCCCTGCCGGGTCGGAACACTAGACAATGTCAGTGTGATGTCACAAGCCGAGTTGGATGGGTTTCCATTGTCTCTGGCATGGCAATGCACACATGTCCGGTTACCCGTGCAGTGGGAGTTCCAGGTCCCTCTTGCACTTGTCTCCATGAAGCACGTGACCCGGTTGCACAAAAAGACAATTCACAAGCCGCATCATGTCAGCTCGAGGATGTTCAAGGTGGATGGTTCTTTTGTGAAGTTTGTAAAGGGCGGGGCTTTTTTCATCCCCCAAAAAGGCTCCTCATGCTAACTTTCCAGCTGGGGGCCTTTTTTCGTGCCCTGTTGGAGCAGGGAGGGGGGGCGGGCGCCTGAAGCAGAAAAAGACTTGACCGGCCCAGAAGGTTTTTTGATGTTCCGTGAGGGCATTAATGAACCCTTAAGAAACGCAAAAAAACACTTGACCGGCTCCAGTTCGACATGCCAGGCCCCAGTACACCGGTGCTAGCACTAGTACTAATGCTACCGCTCTGTGGGGACCAACAAAACCCCAGTCCTGCCTCTTTTTCCTGATTCGGAGGGCTTCGTGTGGGCATGCCCGGCCCTAGATACTGGTACTAGTTCTAGTACTCGCACTAGTGCTACCAGTGCTACTACAATTACCACCACTACTACTACTACTACTACTACTACTCCTACTACTCCTACTACTACTACTACTACTACAACAACAACTACTACTACAACTACTACTAGCGCTACTGCTTCTGCTACTACTAGGGGCGCACCCCCCCCCATTTGCCAACACAAGGCTCGCATGATGGGTAAAAAGAATCCTGTGTGTTAAGGTGACTTTGCACGGCTTAAACACAAGCGAGTCCGCATCATCCTATATCTCAAACACGCCTCCTCAGTTGGTGATTCGGGCACACTGTATATCTTAAAAACGCCCCCCTCATTTGGCGATTCCGGCTTCATCATATATCTGAAACAGGCCCCCTCACTCGGCGAGTCCGTTTCATCATAGAGGTGAAGCACGCCGCCTCATTTGGCGATTCCGGTTCATCTTCTTTCTAGACAGTGGATCCTTTCCCTGGGCAACAAAGCTCGGCTGTTTGCTGCAGGTAGCCGCACCGCAGGAACGTAGGACTGCAAGGTCTGCGGTGCGCTTTCTACCCAAGAAGAAGAAGTGGGCGACGAAGGTAGCCACGCTTCGTTGAAGGCACTTGTAAGAATCAGCCTGCGTACCAGGGCGCGTCGGTCTGCGAGGGGGGGCTTCCCCAGCCTACTCCGTAGAAAACCTGTTAAAGAAACGCGAGACCACCCTAAACCTCCCGACTAAATGCGTAGAGTATTGACACGTCCGTCTGTGGCTAACCAATTCCGGAGAACAGTCGAAAAGTCTGCGAGCGTTGCTATCACGGGACATAGAGTCTGTAGTGCTGCTAAAAAAAAAGCGATTTTGGACTTCGTGTATTTTCCGCAGGCCTTGCATGGTTTTTCATTCCAGCTACATGCCGTTATAAAGTAACTACACGGCCGCCTGGGGGTCCTAGCCCTGCACTCTTAAAGGCGAAATTCGGTAGCGAAAAATCGCCATAAACGTACTTTCAGAAATTCAAACGCCTTGCCGTAGCTGTGCAAAAACCTAGGTTTTCGCTCCGGAAGCAGAAACCGGGAAACCCGCAAAAACCACGTGCGCCCCTCAAACACGAAGTTGATGTCGAAATCTGCCACAAAACACTAGATAGAGGATCTGCGACACTCGATTTTGGACTTTGTGTATTCTCCCCACGCCTTGCATGGTTTTTGATTCTAGCTACGTGCCGTTTACCCCTGCGCGCTTAAGAGCGAAAATCGGTAGCAAAAACCGCCACAATCGTATACTTTCAAAATTTGAGCCAGTTTTGCCGTAGCTGTGCAAAAACCTAGGTTTTCGCTCTGGAAGCGATAGCAGCAGCTGCTCGGAAGCGGCACCAGAAAAGGAAACACCCGCAAAACAGGAAAACTGATTCCCCCAAAATCTATTCCCTAACACCAAAGGTTGAGCCACGAAGTTGAAAGAAGGTTTGCCCTGAGGTCAAGTATCTTGTGCTACCCGCGAAGTACTAGCTAACCATGAAGGCTGAGCACCGCAACAGAACCACGCATACGACGGAATCGCGGGTGAGGCTCGGCATGTCTGGATGAAGCTTGGCGAGTAAGAAAGCCTTGTGTGGCCTGTCAAGGATTGATTTGCCTTCCTCAGGCTTCATTTGTTCTTTTTGCTTACGGGACCGTTTGAAGCCCCCACAGGGCCCAATTAAATCCCGTTGCCGCTAAGGGAGGGCACTCTTTAAGACCTTTACATGGCAGGTGCATAAAGCGACCTTTCAAAGCCCGTCGTTGGGTTATTAGAGTTCTGCCATCTCGGGCCCGAGGACTCCGCATCCGGGCTGCCCAGGGGCCAGTAAAAAATCCCCGTCCGCTGAGGAAAAGGTCTTTTTCTGGTCATGGGCAAGTGACGGGGTAGAAAGACAACCCGTAGGTGGGGAAAGTTTTTTTGTTTTTTTTACCCTGTCTGCGTTGGTGGAAGTACACATAAACCCCTGGACAGGGCGGAGGGCGTTCTTGAACTCTGTCCATACGTGCTCGAGACGGGCAGAAAAAGAGCCTTTCCGACAGTACCCGCAAAAAGCCCCACGGGGACCGAAAAAAACCCAGCCCATTTTGTCCTGCTAGCTCGTTTGCTTCCAGTATCTTCCAGTCCAAGCGGCACGCTTCTCCTCAGATTAGTGCTTGAGCCGCTGATCCGGTTTTCTTGTTGTGGCTCTGCCCTAGACGCCTGGTTGCTTTCTATGTCGCAGGTCACAGGTAGTCAGCCTCTTCTCTCAATTAGGACTGCCCTCCAGCGCACCCCTACTCGGCGCACCTCTTTCAGCCCCTGGCGCTCACAGGCGCTGGAGCCCTGGCGACAGGGGAAGTCTGCGGCGCGCAAGTTCCTCTCACGACTTCCTTGTATAAAGCTCAGGGCACATCGGCTTGGAGGGCATAGTCCGGGAGCAGCGTGCCCTGCGCCCACGCGCCGCTCAGCGCCGCTCAGCGCCGCTCCGCGCCGCTCGCCGCGCTCACCGCTGCCTCGGGCATCTTGAGCTGCTTGGAGACGTAGGCGGGACGCAGAAGGCCGGAGTACTGGTAGCCCCAGAACTCCTGAGGGAGCGAAAAGAGCGAGCGAAAAGACCCCAAGACAACAGGGCAAACACACCACGCACACCACGCCGCCGGGGCCCTCGGCCCTCGGAGGCTTCTGGAGATCTTGCGAAGTCATCTTCTCAGACTCGTTGGCCGTGGCCTCACAGAAATCAATCCCGCCGCCCGCCTACGGACGATGTCGGACGGCCTCCAGTGTCTTCTGACACCATGCATCGAAGTCCTGGCACTGGAGGCTTCTTGACAGAGGGAAGGGGATCTTCTTTGCACTCGTATGGTTCTGGAGCGTCGAAGCTACAAACTCGTTTGCTCTTCTTTCAGCCTCGTCAGAGATGCCGTAGTTGGCAATGCCATCAAGTCCACTGACGGTGCCACCACCTAGGCGCCGCTCAGTGCGGTATACGCCACTTCCTGCATAGCTTTCTAGCTTTGAGCGTGCGGCCGCCTTTCTTCTTGCCTGCGAGGAGACGTGCTGCTGTCTCTCGCATGGGCCCCGGCCCCGGCCCCGCCCCCACGCCCCGCCCCGTCGCCTCGCCGCTTCTTCTTCTTCTTGCCTGTGTCCCCCTGCGTGCACGGACAAAAGCCCCAGCTCTCTCGATCTATCAAATCTCGAGGCTTTGCTTCGCAGCTCGCGCCTCCTCGGCCTCCTCCTCGTCCTCTGGCGCCTCCTCCACGTGCCCGCCCGGGTAATCAGCGGGCTCGGGCTCGGCGGGCTCCTCAGCACAGCACTGCACAGCCTCAGCACAGCGATCCTGCCCCAGCTCCTCTTCGGGAATCGTCTCGGCTTCCTCTCCTGGCAAAGGCCCCGAAGGCGCCGTCTCCATCCCATAAAACATTGCCTCTGACACATGTCTGTAGAACACAACCGCACCGCACAGGGTGACATAATGTTCCTTGCATCTGGACACTTCCGACTGCTTACATGGAGATCCTTTGTTGCCTTTCGCCTTCTTCTTCTTCTTTTTCTTCTTGCTGGCCTACGGCCGGGACAGCACAAAAGACCGCTGCGAGAGTTTCCGAATGGGCCTCAGCGGTGTCCTCCTTGGTGTCCTTCTCCTCTCCTCAGAGGGAACTCATGGAGCCCCTGTGACAGGCTACGGCGACTCGGCGACTCTGTTCGGCCTTCCGTGTACGTGGGGTCGTGCGAGTCTTCCGTGTCCACAGCCACCTCGGTCTCGACTTCGCCATCCTTGGCAGCGCCCTTCTTCTTCCTCGCATACAACAGCGGCGCATAGCAGCTGCCGAAAGGGAACACTTCCAAGGCCGCGGCTTCTTGTTACCGGTTGTCGCTGCGGCCTGGTGCCATATCCAGAAGTTCGTGCCATTCTCGTGGAGTGGCCGGGTGGCTGAAACTTTCTCAAACACGCAGAAGCCAGAAACGGAGAGACCAGACGCTCCAGTGCAGTCCCGACCTCGGAGTCCATTTCTCGATCTCGCGACGGATTCCTGTCTCAAGAGCCGAGCTGATCCTTGCGACGACAGACTGTTCTTGCACCTCGAGCGGCGAAGACCAAAAAGACGCCCTCACCACATCTGCCCTGTTTCGGGCTGAAAGACGGAGAAAGCAGAAAGTGAAAAGGGCACAGGCTCTGAGCCCGGGCGCCACTTACCGATCCGCGGGAGGGCACCGCAGGGCGCGGCGCGGCGGTGGCGCGGCGCTTGCCGGCCCTCTCTGCCCGCCCCGGCTTGTGTGCCCAGCTCGGGCCAAAGAAAGCGGAGCACTTGACCTGGACCTGCCAGCCGGCGCAGTCACGTATTCACGAGCAGCTTAACAGGTTACTCACAAGGTACCCAGACCATATGATCCAAAGATCGGCAACAACAGCGAGTACGTGCATGTTGATGTGCTGAGACAGGGCCCAACTGAAAGATCCACGTGCTAGTTCGATGGATCTCGATAGATCTTCCACGAACACCGGCTGTTCAATCCAACATTTTCTCCCAGATGTCTTAGGAGGATGCCGCACGTGGCCGTTACCCTCTCTCTCTCTCGCTCTCTCTCTTCGAGGGAGGAGTGTCAAGTCCTTGCTCTTGCCACCCATCGAAGGTTAGATAGAGAGCCCCCAAAACAGTGCATAGAGGCATTAATGGCAGCATCCCCCATGGCTGGCCCCAGCAGCGCACTGCCCCTGCTCTGAACCGCAAGATGCAAAATCACACTCAGCCGAAGACGCAGCCCTCAGCTAAAAGGGGCCCTTTTTCATGTTTTTCATGATCCCTAGGCCTAGGCTGCGAGATCTCAGATCTCACATGTCCTTGGCTCTCACCGATCAGTGAGAGGAGCCGACCTGCGTCGACCTGCAGGCTGCTCCGGGACACCCCAAAGTCCCCAAAAGAGAACCCTGCAGGCTGTCTGCATGCTGTCTGCTCGGATCTCTCCGGAAGCCTCCTTTTGTTTTCAGCCCCTGGGTGAAACGCGCTGTGAAGGTGAAACGAGTGAAACGCTGCCCGCGGTTGCGGGGTCAGCTCAAACGGAAGATCTCTTTTGGAACATTCGTGCGAGAGGGCCCCATTGGCTCTCGGGGCCGGCCAGGTAGCCCAGCGGGCCTCGCAGAAACTGCACTCGCAGCACTCCGACTCGCAGTCCTGGCCGACCTGGCGGCGACGAGCGGCGCCTCTCATCCCGCGCCTCTTTGCGAGCCTCAAAGATCCCCCCAGAAACGCTTCGTGAAATACCCGCCTCTTAGATCCACCGCCACAAGCTTTTGAGAAGTGCGGCACCTTGCTACTAGTAAGGCTGGTGGTGTCAGGACAGGCAAAACAACTTCGCCAAGTCAGGTACGTAGACGCTCGGTCGGTATGGCGGCATCGGGCAAGGGTTTTGTATGGCCTTTTGCGGGCTCAACAAGGTGAATAGGGAGTGTTGTGGCTCATGCGGCCAGTTTAGGAGCATGGGTTCTATGATGCCAGGACGAGAGGCAGGAGACCGCAAAGACCCTCAGGCTCTCATGCTATTGCCGAGACTTCAGCTGTGCGCATAATTTGCGGGGCTGAGGTGAGGCTCTTGGAAGCCCCTTGTTGACGGATCCGTCGCAGTGACTCGTCTCCAAAAGGTCACTGTGCTGAACTCTGGGCGGTTTTTTGGGCCGAAGTGGCCCCACCGACAGCGAAGGCCAGAGGCACTTCACGTCTGGTTCGGCCTTATACCGCTCTTCTGAACAGCACGGAAGATGTTTGCTTGAAGGTAAAGGCACTCCTCCTGACATGGCTTCGCCTAGAGGGGCGAATCATTCTGGGGGAAAGACCGAGCATCATCACCGAGAGGTGACTTGTGAGTGCGCTTGGCCAGATTCATCGGGGCTGTCGTTGGTCCTGGTGTTGTGGTTTCCACCTGTTTGCTGATTCGAAGCCAGCCCGCAGCCACTCATGAGGCGTCTCCGGTCTTTCGGCAAAAGGGTAGAGGAGTTATCCAGATGCCACCCCGGTACCCGAGTTGCAGCTTACTTTGAAGATGACAATTTCTATCACGAGCGGATACTGCTGTGCGCTGCGGTGCCGGTGGAACGCGCTGGGCTATCCTCACCCCAGACCATGATGTTTATATTGAGGACTTCGGCGGCATGTGACCACTTCATGATCAAGGGAGAAAAAATTACCTACTGGTCTCCTGTGGGTGGGGCTGCCTATAAGTTCAGAGATCAACCGAGCGACGAGGAGTTGAAGCAGGGCATCGAAGAGGCCATTGAGTTGATCGGCGACCAGGTGCATGCTCCCGATGCGTGGCCGAGCCCTTGTTAGCCGCCAGTTTGCGCGGGTTGCTGCAAGAGGTGAGCCTCAGTTCTTCGTCTCGGAGTTTCAGGTGGGGGACAGAGAGCGTGGAGCGCGGGGGAGGCTCGAGGTGCTGATTCTGCGTCCTGTCGCAGGGCCTTGTTCGTGGACGGCCCTGCAGCTGAGGAGAAATCCGAAGAGAGTAGGACCCTATGGGTTGACTATGACTACGATGAACATGGAGCCAGATTCGAGAGATGGAGGGACGTATGTAAAGAAAGCTATGCGCCTGTGATGATAAGCTGGAGTTGCTTCAGGCGCGGCAGCGGGTACGAGAACTTCGCGGCAGCCCCACAGTCGCTCCTGATGACGCCGGCGGATGGTACCGATGGCCAAGGAACGAAGCCCACGAAAGGCCGTGGACGCGAGCAGGACGATGCCTGAAGCACTGGTGAGTGGTGTTGGCAGCCTCCCGCCAGCACGCCCCCCAATTTGCCAATGCCCCCAAGGATGAAGCGGGTGGCTTTTCTTGGGTGCTCAACCTGGGGTCTCTGCTAAGCCCTCTGGGTCGCGTAAGCTTTTGCGCTGACCTCCTTTTGAGTGCTCGTGGGATTTGAGGCGAAGCGTTCAGCGAAGGGCCCGAATTTGGCACCACATCAATGCAACGAGGTGGTGAATCTGCTCGGCCGTATGCAGATGATAGCCCTATGCGCCTGGTCCGGTTCATGAACAGAAGCCCAACTGCGATCCAGGGCGGCCGGAGGAGAGCTGATGCTTGCGAATGAGGAGAACTGTGAGCCCTTTTTTTGCCTAAAGCCTATAACGACCTGGTTCGTCGACTCCACGGAATCAATTGCTTCCAGTGCAAAGTGCGGGTTTTCTTAGACTCGGCTGAGGTTAATCACTGCTGTCAAATGCTTCAAGGCTGCAGGCCCCGAGTGTCAAGATCTCATGAGTGACTTGGGAGGCTTCGTGGCTTCGACGTGCTCAGTCCGGAGGCCATCTCGAAGGTCCAGGAAGTCTTAGATTGCTTCCGCCGCATGCGTGTTCCCACGCGGTCGCCGCGCTATTTCGCATGGGAGGCCGTGCCGGCAATAGCATCGACGGTGTTCATGTCGGTCCCTTGGATGCAAGAATCCTGGCGCTCTTCTTCGCTCAGCGCGAGAACGAGTATGTCAGCCGGAGCGTCCATGAGCCGCTGTGAGCCCCGGTGTTCCACATCGGGGTGCTCCTGAGGCCGATCATTTCCATGTGTCGACAACTTTGGGGTGTTCGGTCTGGCAGTGGGTCGAACAGGTGATGAGCTCCAGGAGAATCGAGTTGAACGCGAGTGAGGTTGCCAGTGGCAGTGTGGAAGCGAGCGCGTCCCCGTTCATGGCGAGCCCTGCAACCTCCCCCGGTCTGGTGCGCAATCAGCTGAAAAGAATGGTCGTTCTCAAGGTGAGTTGAACCTTCTCCAGGTCTGAGCGACTTACCATCGGCCTGGTGCCTGGCTTAAGCTTCGCAAAATGGGACTGGCAGTCAGAGGTCACCAGTTTGAGCGAGACAAGCGATGTCCAAGACCGGCACCACGAAAGACGATTCCGCGTTGGCGGACTCGAGCTGGCGTTTGCAGGAGGGGATCCCAAAGATGGACCGATTTGGACTTTCGACTGCAGTCGTTGACCTTGCTACCGTACCAAGCCAGACACCCTCTTTTGCCCCTCCAAAAAGGAAATTACGATTTTCAGAGAGGGGGGGCCACCTGCAGAGTCTCGGCCCGCAGCAAGTGGACGCCCCTCGAGCTTTCAAGTGCAATCGGCCATTCCTGAAGTCCGGACTTCAGGGCTTGTATTCGGGGCCCTCTAGTTGCGCCTCCTGCTTTGACCTTAGCTGAAGCTGGTGACCGAGAAGGCTGCGAAGCACCAAGTCCAAGCCTTGGGCCTTGGGGTAGTCAGACACTCTCGGAAGAAGCATGGGAACAAGTCAAGGATGACAAGCCATATCGTCCGCAAAAAGGCTCCTCCTCTCCATGCGGCTTGCCGTGGGTGTTCTCTCAGCCGTGCTCGAGCCAGGTGTGGTACTGTTGATGACATGAATCCTGCATTACCTTAAAGGACGCTAAACTATGGGAATTATGGTATTTTCCTTGTTATGGGCAAGGCAGGATTTATATCATGCACCGTATCTCCCCGAGCTCATTCGAGATCGAGGCCTGGACACAGTTCAGATGGCGAATGCAGACCCTTGTCAGTGGAACGGCGCTCGCAATTCTTGATAGGAAATGTCTCAGTGGATGACGCCGATTGTTGCCGGCGACTTCGTCGTGGCCAGCATGGTATTTGCAGCTACAGTTCGCGCGAGCATGCTGTTGTCAAGGGGTCTTCTGGCTCTGGTGCTCACGTGCCAAAGTTCGCTGAGTCGTATCCTCATCCTCTGGCTCATCGGCTTGCAAAACTTCTGCTTGCTCGTCATATGCTCGTTCGATCTTGAGCCCTCCCTGCCGGGTCCTGGGCAAGAAGGTGCACAGGTGCACAAACATATCTATATATTATATTATATTATATTATATTATATTATATCATCTTATATTATATTATATATACCATTGTGGGGCGGCGTGGCAGGGGCAGGGGCAGGGCTGACACGGCTATATGCCTGGAAGAAAGTCCCCCCTGGGTCCCCAAAAGAGGCAGAGGCGTCGTAGCGTCGTAGCTTTGAGGCTTTGAGGGCCCGGCGCCGCTGCGGGACGCCGGGCCCGGGCCCGGGCCCGGGCCCAGCAGGCTGGACGCCGTGCGGCTTCGGGGCCCTCCGAGGCCGAGGCCGAGGCCTCAGCTGGGACCGCTCTTCGCGCTCAGCGCTCTCTTTCGCAGAACTGCAGCTGTGTGGCTCTGGCTCTCACTCCGGCCGTGTGCGAGGCTGTGACTGCGCAGGCGCAGGCGACAGAGAGACAGACGGAGCCCCCCGCCGAAGAACCGGGGAAAAGGAGAGGCGGAACCGGCCTGTGCTGCATCCACGAGCAGCTGTGGCTGCTGGCCTGTGCTGGAGGCATGGCCTTGGGCCGAAAACATCATCGATCTCGAAGGCCCGAAGGCCTCTGCAGCGGTCCAGCGGTCCGGGGCCCGAACATGTCCTTTGGCACCCAAGGCGCCCACCTCAACTTCCAGCAGCTCCAGCCGGCTCCAGCCGGCTCCACTCGCTTGGAGCTTTCTGCAGTTCAGTCCCTGAGTCCCTGACGCTGGCACTCCGAGAGCCTCCCCGACTCACAAAAGTCACGAAGCACGCGTTGCACGCATGGGCGTCTCAGACCTTGCAAGCCCTCCCCCCTCCCCTCCTGGAAGGCCTTTCCCTGTGGCCCCTGTGGCCCTTGCCTGAAGACACGACATGCACAACATGTGCTGTCGGCGCCGAGCGGAATCCTAAGACACGTCCCTTGTTCAAGACTCTCTCTCGAGATCAGCGGCACTACCCACAAGCGGCTCATGGCAGCGGCTCACGCAGAGCTGCGTCTATTGCAAGCAGGAAGCTGCCGAGAAAGCTGCCGCAAAACAGAAACGTAGTGCCCCCTTGAAGATGCTACAGTGGAGGCTAGAGCGCTGCCATCTTCGCCCAGGTGCTACACAGCGGTTCAAGACCTGGCCGGAGCAAAGCGAAGCTCAGAAGCCGCCCCTGGGGGCGCCCCCGCCCCTCTCCGGCGGCTTCCTCAGCCCGCCTCGTCGGAGTGGCCGTCTTCCGCAAGCTTTGGGAGGTAGAAGCCTCTTTCAGGCAGAGCCAACAAGGCAACGCGACGAAAGAGAGGGAGAGGGAGAGATGCGCACAGCCGGCTGCGCGACTACCTGGGGCTCGAACTGTACAGGGCCTTCTCGCGGATCCTCGGCTCCAGCGAGCTCACCTCAAGCGACAGGACAGGACAGGACCCAGAAAAGCGGCCAGAGAGAGACAGCGACAGCGAGCCCTCTCTGCGCTCGCACCGGTGGCATCAAGCCGCCGCCCCAAGAGACCAAGTGCCTCAGCAAGCGCTCGTTTCGAGGCTCGTGTCGGAGTCCCCGTCGCTTTTGAAAAAAAGTGCGAGAGCTGAGGCGTCGCGACTGCCAGGGCCCTGGCACTGGATCCACCACGAGGGGTCCTCTCTGCGCCTAACCGACAGAGCAGAGTCGTATAGATATGCATTCGCAGCAGCTTGCAGCTTGCAGCAGCTGCAGTCTTGCAGCAGTGCACTGGCCTCTGCTTCGCTTCTCCGGCTCCCTTCAAGCGGCCCAAGCCCCCTTCTTCCGGACATGGCTCCCGAGCTCGAACCAATCCCCGAATGCGCAGCCGATGTGCCCCTGTAGCCAGTACTATCTGGAGGTCCCTCCCTCCTTTTTTTTTTTGAGCCGACAGCCGAGGCATTCATGCGGCATGGAGAGGAGACGTGCGCGGCACGGCCGCAGGCTCGCAGAGGCACGCGAGGGGCCTTCGGCCTTCTCGCACGCCCGGCGAGCTTCCCCTGCCCAGGCAGTGGAAGGACCCGCCAGGACGGGCGAAAGAGAGCTCCCTGGCGCGCCGCGGGCACCGCGCTCCTGTGCCAACCCACGGCCAGGTGCAGCTGTCACCTCCTGGAGACCTGTAGGAAAGAGACGCTTCCGAACAAAACTCTTGTTTAAGCTGACGCTTGTTGCAGGTGCGGCTTCGCAGCTGCAGGCTTCTGCAGAGAGGGGCAAAAGCACGCTGCTTTTCATGCCGCCCGATTGCCGGCGGCACCAGTTCCTCCGCACTTTGGCGCAAGGGCAACCCAGACGCTCAGGCCATGGGCCAATACAGGACGGCCACGAGGAGCGAGAGGACGCAGGCCATGCTGAAAAGCACAGCTTTGGGCCTCGCTTGCAAGCCCTAAAGCCCTGCAAGCCGTCTCTCGCTTTCTGGGAACTGGGCATCCAGTTGTCCTCTTCCTCTCTCTGGTTTTGTCTGCTTGAGGTGCTTGGCACCTGCGGATCCCGCATCCACGCAACAGGCGTGGGGACGTGGGGGAGGAGATCCCTCGGCCTCGGCTGCCTCGGCCTCGGCTGCCTCGGCTGCCTCGGCCTCCTCGGCCTTCGTCGAGGAGGTCGTTGAAGCCGGCGCGAAGAAGCGGTCGTAGGGCAGCTCAGTAAGCGTAAGCAGCAGCTCCGATCCGAGAGCTCCGAGTCCGAGCTTCCAACATTTGCAATTTGGGAGGTGGTGACGTTCGCCTGGACTCACCGAGACGTCCTCTGAACTTCACACAGCCACTGAGGCCCAAGCTCGAAAAATCGGCACCTCGCTTGGCACTGCGCTACGGCACTGCGCTGGGACGCCGCTACGCTGCGCTGTGATCTGGGCTCGGGGCAAGATCCTCTCCAGCAACCTCGGGGGCTGCACTCAGAGAGCGGACCCGTGCAGTGGTCCGTGCAGCGAGGCCCGGGGCCAGGGCCCCCAAGGTGCCTTTGCCAAAAAGCTCCAGGAGCCCAGAAAGATCCACCTCAGCGCCCGCTGACGTCTCAATGATCCAAACCTCAAGCTGCTGCTGCAGTGGCCCTACTATACCCTTGTTTCTGAACCCTCTTCGTCAGCTCCGAACCCTCTGGCATGGGCTTGTGTGTTCTGAGCGAAAGCGCCCGAAAGCCCCGCCTTGGCGCCGCTGGCGTTCGCCAGGCGGAGGCCGCTGGCGGAGGCCTGGAGCGCCTCTGCGCGACAGCTGTGCGGCTGTGCATTCGTTGCGAGTCGAGAGAAGTCTACAAACGGCCAGAGCCTGCACACAAGCCAAGCACAGCTGCCGCCCGGCCCGCCCTTTTGGCACCTCCAGGAGCTGTGACTGCCTCGGCGTGCACGGCGGCGTGCGCGCTGCGTACGCGCCGAGCCATCGCACTGCCCTGCTGAGCTCTTGGCGGCCTGCTGTGCCTGAGGCCGTGGCGCATCGTGACCGGCGCCGGCGAGCCGTGCTGTAGCCTCCGTCGACCGGTTCAGGGACTCCTCCACCGATGTGCTTCAGAGTCCACAATTTCACAGAATTCACAATCTTCTCTTCACCCCTCTCCTCGAAGTCGAGCTCTGCAGATCGTAGGAGCGCTGCGACTGTCCGCGCCTGACCACAGCGTCAGACTGTCAGACTTGCTAGCAGCATGTGCTCTGCATGTGCTCTGCATCGCCGTGCATCGCCGTGCCTTGCTGGCACCTTCTTCAAGAGCTGCTGATCGGTTGGCCACGGAAGTTGCAACCGAGATGCCAGCCTCGCCCTCGGTGACAGTGGCCATGGCTTGGTCGCAAGAAGCAAGATGCAAGAGGCATTCAAGCTTTTCGGCCTCGGGGAAATCGCTGATCCCCTTTGAGAGCTTCTCCGTTGCTTCCACCTTCGGCGCACGTCGTGACAACCTGTCGACGCGGACTCGCCCTCAGCTCGCGGCGATGCTGAGCAGCTCTTGCGTGAGATTCTGCAGGGGGCGAAGGCGAAGGAAGGGAACAGGCGCGCGCTCCGAGTGCTGCGGTGCCGCGTTTTTGCCTGCTTCTTCGAGGCCACCAGGTCCAGGCTGCGAGCCGCTGCGTCCGCGGCCTCCACCTCCTACAAGGCCAGGCGGGCAAGGCCCAGGGCCCAGGCGGCCCAGCTGCCCTACAGACTCTGCCCCTGCCGACTGGGCCCCCCCACCTTGGCCATCTCCTGACAGAGTCGGAAACTGGGTTTCTGCCCGTGCTCTTTCTTGTTGCAGCACAACCTTCCACGAATTTCACTCCCAGGTCTTCCTGGCTGCTTTCTGAGTGCGTTACGTAACGCTCGACTTCCACTGTCTTCTCTGCCTCCTATAGACGCTTATCTTGGCGTCTCTCGCTCACATCTTGCTCTTGGGCGCCATCTCCTACGCCTGGCTATAGCCAGCTTCCATGCCTGCGAGCCTGGCCAATGCTCTCACTGGGTGCCGACTGGTGCGGCTTGCCAATTCCGTTGCTCATCTTCTAATTATAATGCATATCAAGGCATGGAGCCGCCGCAGCTCACGTTGCAACGTTGCTCCGCGAGCGGAGCGCGGACGCTTTGCATTCTTTTGCATTCTTGAAAGGGGTTGTGAGGGTTAAGTAGCTGCTCGGATTTGTCACGTGCAGCCGGTTTATGCTCCAAACCCCAAACCCTGATCAGTCGTCCGAACCCACGAAGCTCGACAACTCGAAACGGCGCTGGGGCCTTTCGAAAACAGTATCCCGGTCTTTTGACAGCTTTCCCAGAATTGGACACGAGTTAACATGACTGTAGCATTACATACATGCCTGGCTTGCCTTCGCCCAACAGCCCAACTCGGCCTGGACATGGGAGGTCGCGTTCCTCAGCTGTCTGCTCGCCAGCTCCAGATCCTCCTGCAAGGCCTTGAAATCGGAAGCCTGGGCCGTTGGCCGTTGGCCGCTTTAAAGGAAACAAGGAGAATCTTCGGCAACGTAGCTTAGCCGCTTAGCCTGCGAGCAGCCGAGCAGCTGTTTCGTTCTTGGTCACCAACTCAATGGTCATGGGACCATCCTTGCTGGTGGCGATCTCTGCGGTGAGCGGCGTTCCAACGGGTGGCAGAATCCTCAGCGAAGCGTTACTAAGTTGGCCATCAGCTCGCCAGCTTTGAATGTCATGGAACATTTTTTTGTGTATGCCATTCCAGGCACGGGACAATCAACTGTTATGGCAGCAATTTTGAAGCGAAAGCGCAAGTTTCCAAGCACATCTAGAAGGCCACAGATTTCGACCAGTGTCGACCAGTGATGCCAGAGGAGGAGAAAACGAACGAGAGAGAGAGAAACAAATGACCTGCATCCTCCAGGCAAGGTAACGGAAGCCATAAAGAAAACATATCTTTGGTGAGGAAGTCTTTTGGCGCAAAGAGCGGGTCCCGAGGTACCAGCCGGATGTCGTTGAGTTTTTGTAGGAGCACCTCCGACAAAACAGGACTCTGACCGCTCGCCAGCTTGGCGTGAGCAGCTCTGCACTTTAGCGAAAGCTAAGGCACTTTCTTGTATCGTTGGAATTCTTCTGTTCCCGCCATACCGTCCACGGGCAGCAAGATGCTTCCAGAGCTCCTGGCTAGGACACACGCATGACTACCTGAAGGCTGAAACCGCTTTGCAGCACAGCGTGCAAATGTATGGCGACCATAGACATGCTCTGAGAAGCCAAGCAGGCGAGCTTGAATCCAAGAGTCTCGTCGCTGAGCGCCCGGAAGGTCGCAGCCGCTGCTGTGAGGTTCACCTGAAAATGCCAGAAGTCACAAAGAGCACATAAGCAGTTGCTATCCCAGGGACGCGGTGCGCTTCCCGAAGAAGTTTCAGAAGGCCCACGAACAGAGATGAAGTTGAGGGACCGTGGAGTTTTGCGGGATGCGCTTCCCCAAGCCTCCAAATGCAGGCCCAGGGTCACCGCCTTCAATGCCGTGACGCCTCAAAAACAAGCGCTCGTGGCAGCAAAAGGGGCGCTTTCAAAAGGCTCAGTTCAGACAAAGGGCCGGAGCGAACCTGGGCACAGGAGCAAGGGGGGCCGGGTCTAGGTTCAGGGGTATGCGGGCTCGCTGAAAAAATCTCACTGGGGTGCAAGTTGCTGGTACAATGGATTCGAGTTGCTGTGGACAGGGCGCACCGGGGTCTGCTGTACACATGGCACGTCTGAGGCGCGCGCTCAGACACATGCACGGGAATGTAACAGCAACACAGAAAAAAAACAGTGGGCCCAGTTGTGAGGCGGTCGACTGTGAGCTCGTTTACTGTCAGCTTGCTTGCGCAAGCCGGGGTTTCCAGGATTTCAGGAAGGGCCTCCAAGTGATTCTGATGACAATCCGATTTCGCTTGAGGCAAAGGGCGATTCTACTTTTTCACACTTCGAGCATGTCAGTGCTGTGGCTTCTGTCGATCATGGCTTTAAGCCTGTGCTGGCTTCTGCGGAGGGCTCAAAGCCTATGCTGGCTTCCGCCGATCAACAACCTGAGTTGGCCTATACACGTTGCTTCAACTGCAGGTTTAGCCAAAGAGTTGGGCTCGATTGAGCCAGCCGCTGCACAGAAAGCAAGGGACATGACGCATACAGACACAGGCGGCAACGGAAATTTGCACTCCTCCTTGGTGCTACCGCCAGGGCTGCAACGCTTAGTATATGCCGCCATTCTCCACACAGCATCGACAAAGTGTCACTGTGTTGATGCGACCGGCATTCCCCAAGCCCCAGCATTAAAACATGTAAGTGGTCACGACCTGAAACTTGGTAGAAGGGCTCACGCATAACCTCCCTGCTAGGTGGTGGGGCACGAAATTATGAGGGGATCCGCAACAGGGCCGCTGCGACGAGGATCACGAGAGTCGCGCTCAAGGAGCTGCAAATGTTGCTGCCGTTCGATCCGGGAGTTGACTACGGAACAAAAGGAGAAGTTGTGCGACTTGAGAGAAAGATTCGATGCAACCATGCCCAACTCCTTTCCACTACCTCGAGAAGCCCTTGGTCAAGATGATGCTCCAGCCCCCTCCAAGAAGAGGCTTCATCCTCGTCTTCAACATTTACCGCGGCGGGAAGAAACAAGCACCCCCAAGCCGAAGACTTTCCGTGACCAAGAGACTCAGGTGAACCCTTTCATCAGGAAGTCGGCCCAAATTATCTTCCACGCAGTTGCCATGACCGTCCATCTTGGGAGAACGCGTAGTGCTCATCCTCGAAGCTTCCCGCCGTTTTTGAGTATCATAACCCTTGGGAGAGGAAAAGCCGACAGACCTTCATCAGCTTCATCATCATCATCAGAATCCTCGTCGTTCTTGATAAGGGCTGCGAGGTTCAAGGAAAAACCAAATCCTCCAAGGCCTCGACATCATCGGGATGCAACTTCGTAGCCCCTGGCGTGTAGAGGAGGAGAACCAGATGCTCTCCTTTCCAAGGCTGAACGTCATGCCAAGCTTTAAAGGAAAAACTCACCGGCTTGCCCTTCGTCATTTCGAGTCTTCTCGTGCTTGTACGAAACCACACCTCGCTTCCAAACGCAGTTGCCGGTGGGGCTGCCCAAGGACTGTCAGGAAAGACTTTCGCCCACAAAACTGTGGAAGCATGCTGAATCGCCATCGGCCAATCCCCGGAGGGAGCTTGAAGCCCCGTTCCGGGAGCTGAAGCTCCTCCACACATCCGTCGTCCAAACCGAGGCACTTGCCGGAACATCCTTTCGTAGGCACTCACAGTCAGCAGGGAAGTCCAATCAGAAAACCCACATTCCGTTGACCACCCGTCTGCGCTAACAACCAAATCACCACAAAGGCCGTCTCGTTGTCGATCTGGTTGGGGTACGAATATGGCCCCCGGGTTGGTGTCGAGGATATAGGCCATGAGTGGTGAGGGGACCCCCATACACCTCACATTCTCGGTTCAAATCCCACAGCTTCGACTTTGCGACGTCGACGCTCAGGACGCTCTTGCCGCTGGGCAGGATGGACTCAAAGGGGTCATTCTTGTAATCCTCGGCACCGGAGAACAAGTTCACGACCCAGCTCCTTGAGGACATCAAGGCCCGGCGTTTCTTTCTGGACAAAGGAAAGGATTTAAGATATCGTTCTCCTCTTTGCGGGTCAAAACCTTCAGGTATAGGAGAAACTGCACATCGGAAGGGAGGTCCTTGGTGATCTGGGAGGTGAGGAGGAGTGTAGGTCTTGACCCGTTCTCGAGAAATCCCTCATTCCAATCACTTTTTTCCTCCTTCTTGATCACCTGCAGTCTTTCCCTCAAACTTTCCACGTGTACATTCCAGGCATTCACCTGAGTCATCTGTAGTTCCGGTTTCTGAGGCACTCCATTGGTTGTGGCAGAGGAAGTGGTCGAGGTCATCGTAGAGTAGGACACCGCTACCGCAAGCAAGTGGTGGTAGTACTTCTCCACTGAGTCGATGGGTGGCTCCTCGGTCCTGTGGTAGACCCGTGTTATTGCCATCCGCACGTAGGTGAAGACTCCCTTGAGGGCCTCCTGGATTTGCCTGAAGCTGTCCTGGAGCACGAAGACCATCCGTGTGTAGGCGAAGGCTCCCTTGAGGTCCACTCCTGAATTTGCTGGAAACTGTGGTCCTCCTGCATTTCCTGGAAGCTCTCCTGGAGCACTCGGTCGCTGCTGTCCATTTGCCAGTCCCAAGTTATATATCCATAACACGGTCCCATCCGCTGGCTCGCCTGGACGCAGTCGGCCTCATCAGCTCAGTAAATCTCGTCATCTAACAATTCGCTCATCATTCGTAGACACGGTAAACTCTGCAGAATAAAACTCTTGCACTCTCACCGTAGTTCCACTCCTTGGAGGGGTATGCGGTGGTGGCACCGCGATCGGCCTTGTAGACGTTGGTGGCAGTGTCTGAGAATCTGGAGATCTACTATTCGCGCTCCGATCCGGTTCCCCGTAAGGGGGTTCGGCCACGTCCGTCTAAGCTCCCTCAAAGTCGTAACGTCCGATGCAGATTGAGCTTCCATCACAGGTGCTGGATCATGAAGGTTGGGTTTTCCCAGGCTTCCCTCTGTTCCAGAACCCGACGCAGAAACACCAGAGGCCTCGTGTCCACAGAAATTGTCGTTCCGTAGTTCCTCGCAGACGAAGTCGCAAGGATCTGCTCCGTGGATTGGGCGCTCATAACCTAAAGAACTTTGAAGAACATCGTCGAATTTGTATCCAAAGCCAGCTCGGGCTTATGCAGTTGATGCGCCAAGCTTGAAGGCAAAGGAACGCGATTCTACTGTTTCACACTTCGAGCATGTCAGTGCTGTGGCTTCTGTCGGTCATGGCTATAAGCCTGTGCTGGCTTCTGCGGAGGGCTCAAGGCCTATGCTGGCCTGTACACGTTGCTTCAACTGCAGGTTTAGCCAAAGAGTTGGGCTCGATTGAGCCATCTCATACAGACAGAGGCGGCAGCGGAAATCTGCACAGCCCTAGTTCTGCCCAGCCGCGACGGTCGACAGCTGCTCTGCAAGCCTTACATGCCACCCCTTGACACGTTCAATGCAGCTTACGTCTACTAGGCCTGCCAATCCTGAACGCCTTGAGACTTCCACTGTGATGTCAGCGGTGCAGCAAGACTCAGAGCTTTCTTTTCTGAGAGCTCTGAGCTCCAAAGCTGAGGCAAGACGCTGACTCAGAAGCTCTCTCTTCTCCTGCTCGGCCATGAGGCTGCTGTTCTGGTCTTCCTCTCACGGGAGCCGAACGGACGCGGCCCAACCGACTTAGCGAGCGGCGAGCCTGCCAGAGCCCGCGAAGCCGCAGAGCCTCCTCTGCCCCCTTGGCAACCTGCCGAGAGGAGCGTGTAAAGTAAGGTAAACCCGGTGGGGCCCTCTTACAGCCCTCGTCCCTAGGCACGCATGGAAAACGAGAAGCATCGCTTTTCGCCTGTTTGTGCGAGCTGTTTGGCAAGGGCTTCTTTCTCTTTTCTTCTTGTCGTCCAGGACTGAGGCTGTTTCACATCGTTCTTTGCTTCCAGGTATGAGTATAATACAATGTGAAAAGATATGCTTCCCGTCATGCTGATACAGGACCAGCCGAAGGACGCTCAAGTTTGTTTAGCTCCCGGCATGTCACTTTTTGGAGAGCTCAGCTCTGCTCTCAAGGTCCGAAGACCTGCTCTGGGCCTGTATACAGCCACCAGCGACACCAGATTTCAACAAGGTTCAACTGGCATCAATTAGCACTCGGGTTTGGGTTTGAGCCTTGCAGCGCCACGACATCTTCATCTTCGACGAATTCTGCACTCCCGACACCGACATCCACACCGTTTCAGGACCAGGGATTCTCCGGTCTTATATACAACATGTCGCGTTGATGACGTGAAGACGGATGTGTAGTACAGTGCGGGGTAGTCACATCGCCCGAAGTTGCGGGGTAGGGCCGGGTTGGGTCCCCTGCCTGCTGGGGGCTGGCTTCCGAGACACCGTCGGCCTCGGTCAAGTGGCGGCACTCTCCTCTCCTCTCCTGTCCTCTCTCCTGGCGGGGGTCCGGCAATATCCTCCAAGGTCCTGAGCTCAGTCTCATTCCAGCACACGCTGCGACTCAATGCAACCTGTGACGTCATCTCTAAGACACGACACAACGCAGCTGAGCTGGGGATCTTTGAAAGCTCCGCTGCTTTCTCATCCAAGGACTCGCTCTTCTCCAAGGCTCTGCGCTGAAGGACCTCCACCTGCGAGCCGGGAAAAAGCAAAAAGATTCGGCGGCGGAAGGGGGAAAGGCCGGCGCCCGGCGCCGTCCAGCCAGCGGCCTCCTCGAGGTCGCGGCTGGTCAGCGCAGCTTCCGACAGCGCCTGTTCCATCGCCGCCAATGCCGCCGTCGCCACGTTTGGAAAGGGCCGCCCGTCGGCTCCAGCGCTCCCCGCCTCTGCAGCCCTTAAGCCCAAACGCACACCGGGAAAAACAAAAAAAAAACGACCCTGAACCAGCGGTTCGTGAAGCGCTGGGCTCGCGCCTGCAGTGCTTCCAAGGCCTCCACCAGCAGCGTCCTGTTCTCTGCCCAAAAAAAAGCCCCGAGGACCAGCCCTGAAGTCTGCGTCTCTACCCATGAGCTATTGGGTCCTGTTTCCCTTCAGAGTCTGGGAAACGGAGAGGCGCTCGTTGGGAACCAAAGGGACGGCCTCCACCGTGACGTTGTTCGTTCCTCGGTTCGCGGCCGGCTGCCCCTCGCTCACCCAGAGCTCGCTGCAGCTGAGCCTCGAAAAGTTGCAACTTGGGGATTTGGATCGGAACTCGTCGCTTGGATCTCCTCCGGGTTCTTCACGTGAAGAACGGTTTGTGCTCCGATCACGATGTCGATCCAGCTCGCGGCGTCTTTTGCTGCCGGCTCCGGCTTTTTGGGAGCTCCGCCTCTTTCGCTTTCGCCGCTTTCGCCGCTTTTGTCGCTTTGAGGAGCGGGAGGAGCGGCGGGAGCGGCGCCAGCCTCCGAAGCCTCGGGCGCCTCGGGTGCGGGAGCTGGCGGCTCTGTCGTGGCGGGCACGGCGGTACCGTTCGGCACCGCTTTCGTCTCCTTCGGCACCGCTTTCGGCGCCGCTTTCGGCACCGCTTTCGGCGCCGCCTGCTCCAGGCTCGGAGGCCTGGAAGGCTCGGCTGCCTCGGCTGCCTCGGCCTCGGTTGCGGCCTCTGCCGGCTTTGGCTCTAAGCCAAAGAACGCGGAGGCGTCCTCGGACTCGGAGGCGCCTTGCACACTCGGCTCAGTTCGCAGCATCCTGATGACCGGCGTATCCAGAAGCGAAGCTTTCTGCTCCATGCGCAGGAGCTCCGGCTCTTCTTTCTCCGACGGCGATCGTCTCTTCCATCCCATCATCCACTCCGATCCAGGTGCAAAGGTGATGGACGCCACCGAGGGGAGTTCCTGGGCCAGATCGTGTCTGCCGTGACTGCGACTGTGACGGAGGCCAAGCGGCTTGAAGAAGACCCGCAGGAGCCGAGAACGCCGAGGAGGGGTGCGTCCTGACAGCAAAAAGCCTCAGAAGCCCCCCCGGAACCGTGCCGCCGTGCCCTGCGCTGTCCTTTGCAACAAGGAGGCGTCATCACAGGCCTCGCGCCCGCGATCTCTCAGGCACAAGCAGCCCAACAACACTGAGCTTGGACTTCACCAGCCACCAACAACCTCTCCATAACAAATTGCAGAGTCTCCAGACTCCCAAGTGAGCCTTTGGGAAACACACGCGTTGGACAAAGTCTGAAAGGCAATCGTAGGACATACTCACTGAGTCTGCTCCTTGATCAAATCAACATTTGCGGACTGATCAACGACCTCTGTACCCGCTGCACCCTGCTTCCTCGGAATTGCGGCAACCGCAGTTTGTGCGGGTGAGCTACATGAACTTCTCCTATGCTCGCACAGTCTTCATGGATTCAGGTTACCACCATGCTGCTTCCCTGCTTCGAACGAAGGAACGCACGGACGTAGGGAAGCTTGGAGAATCTGATGAGATGAACCTCTGAGCGCCTGAGAGAAGGCCTGGCACTGCGGCGTCACGGCGGACTTTCAGTGCGGTCGTTTCGTTCAGGCAGTCGCAGTCTGCGAGAGCCGCGTATCCTACGTCGTACGTTTGCCGCTCGGCGATTCGTGGCCTCGCCTTCGCCTGAGAGATCTGTGCAAGGTGGCGCACGAGGCCTTTCTCGGTAAATGGATGTTTGTTGCCGAAAACCAACAAATACTCCCTCGCAAGATGGAGTTTGCTTCCGTGGAGAAGACGGGCCCGTGCCTGCTCTGCGAAGACGGACTCCGACGTCACAGCCGCCTCGGTTCAAACAGAGTCGCTGAAGCTGTCGCTGTTGTGGCGCCGGACCTCTCGAAGTCTCGACTGTCTCAACTCGAACTCGGGCTCCGGCCAGCTGGAAAATCGCGTTTGAAAGGACTCGGAGTGAATTTCTCATGGACGTGCCCGGGCCCGGGGGTTTTGAATGAATGGATGGGATAATTTTGGGAAGCTGCTGCTCTCTCGAGAATCTTTGACACTTATAAGACTTGGTGAAGAGTCTCATCTCTGCATCTCTCCCCACTCACAAGGTTCAGTCTCTGAAGCTATGAGCCGACATGTGGAGAACGGGCTAAACGAAGCGAGCAAGCCGAGAAAGACAGGTTCCAAGGCTTCCTTCACAGGCGCAAGCTGTGTCCGTGTCGAGAGCCTGCAGGAATTCAATCTTTACGCCCATCAAGACTCCGCCTCACGTCGTGTGCTGGATCCGAGCCCGCAGATCGTTGGGCGGTGCTCCCCACGCTTTAAACTTTAGCATCTATGAAGCACTCGTCCCAAAAAAGCATCCGAGCCTCCGCTCGCCCGCTCTTTCCTTCTGGGTCTCAGAGCTTCACATCCCCCAACTGCAAAGCGATGAACTCCTAAGCAGGCACAGAAGGAGTGAATCCGAGAAGTCATCGCTTCGCGTCCTTGATGGCGAGGCGCCTCGCCTCGATAGATCCGTCGCTGGCAGGATCCGCAAACCAGCCGGCTTCATCCCAACCACGCAATCCTTCCGGAAGCAGCTATGCCACTGCCACGCAGAAACAGCAGCGAAAGTTGAGCTACAGAGCTACAAAGTGCTCAGACTCGGTACTTGGCTGCTGTCCGCGAAGCATACCAAATCCAGAATAAATTCTGAACAGGCTTACCATTGTCGCCTGGCGCTTCGTGTTGCGTGTCGCAGATCCGTGTTGCTCAAACTCAGGTGTATGTGAGTGGTGCAGGTGAAGTGATGTACGTGAGTGGTGTATGTAGGTGTAGGTGGTGTAGGCGAAGTGGTGTACGTGAGTGGTGTAGGCGCCATGGTGTGGCTGAGTGGTGTACGTCCAGCCGATGAAGGGGTGCAGGGCGTAATGGGAACCGGTGTTGGAAGTAACGGAAACCGCCCGCGCACCCTGTTTCGGGAACCCACGGCCGTGGTAAAAGGAACCGGGTTACCAGTTCCGGTTACAGACAACCTGTTCCCGTTACGGCAAACCCCCTGCCTTTCTGCTGCCCTTTGCCTTTGCCCTTGGCGTTTTACCAGCACTCCTTCACGGTGTGGCCTGAACGGGGATGCGCTCTCACGATGGGTCAACAGCGAGGTCCAGCTGGCAGACGCGCTGACCAAACCTCAAGTGACATCCTCACTGCATAAAGTGCTGCTAGAACATATATGGACTCGTGTGCATGATGAAAGATTTGTGTCAGTCAAGAAGTGCAGGCAGCTTCAGCAATGTTCGCCTGTAGACTCTGGGGCATGTCAAGCGTATGCCTCAGGCTCCTTTGCCTTCGAGCCTCTTGTGGACAGAGTCTGCGAGTGCTGAAGCATTCGTGATCCTGCCGATATGTTTCCTTCTCTAAACATGTGAAAAATCCTTTTGCCAATAGGCTTCGATCCACGGAGGCCTGGTGAGAGCGGGCGATTGGAAAAGGCTCTGTGCCTTTGGGGGTCTCTGGAGACCTTGTGTGCGAGTGGGCTTTAGTGCCACAGTCCTTGAGAAACAACATTTTTCAAGGGACTTGTCTCGCAGACCTAATCCGGCAGTGTTCAGGAAAGCGTTTCTGACGACGTCGTACAATGACTTCGCATCCGTCACCATGGTCCCGGGAATTTTTCAAGATGGTTTTTCACTATCATCACAACTTCCGAAAAGAGCCAAGATGGGGGAACGGCTGCTGAACGGAAGCAGGTGTTGTAGTGATCACAAAGAAATTTGACTACGTGCGCTCGTAGACCTCGGAGACGAGGCCGTCGGGTCCGAAGGCTTCATGTGGTTTGAGACGCGGTAGAGCGGCATTTAGGTCCGACATGGAAAAAGGAGAGTCGATTTCGGGGATGATATCGTTAGGGGATTGGACTGGGACAGGGGGTTCTGTGGAAGAATACCACACTCGATGTGCAAGATAATCTGCAGGTGGTGGCACGCTTGGTTGGAGTGGCAGGTAAGCTTGTCCTCGACATCGTACAGTCCGGTGGAACGAGGCTTGAAAGGTGCTCCTTGAGATGATCCCACTGATGGATGTCGAAGTTGCAGCCCAATATATATATATATATATAGCAGTAAAATAACATATGTATAGTTGTGAAAATGTGTATATTTATATGGACACCTCCCCACGACCTACTTCGGTTTTTGTTTCACCGTAAAGGCGGTAAATAACGTCTCTTGGGAATCGCGTTGCTGACGTAAACCATGATTCAATTAACTACTGACTCCTCGAAGAAGCAGAAAGAGTAAGCGGTGAGAGAGCTCTGACTATGATGTCGTGATGCATGCTGCTGCATCCTGCGCGAAAGCTTATGACCACTACACGGAAGCAGGATGAAGCGAGTGAGGGATTAATCACGTATGATTTCTTGTTTCATCCGTCCTACACGTGGTTATGGGGGACATAGCATGCATTAACAATTGAAGAACACATAAATAAATGACAATGAACCAATAAGTGTACACAGATATATACACAAATGGACAAGTGCATAAACGAACAAATAACTACATATACAAAAAATACGAACAAATTTAAAGAATTAGCGTTCAATGGCGCTCCAGACACTACTTTTTGCGCCTTTAGCTCAAGGGCCCTTCGCGAGGTAAATGCGATGGTTAACATATATATATATATACACAGTTGCTTCACAAGACAGTCACTCAACTCATGTCACGAAAAGGCACGCACTCAAGCTATACATGCAAGAACCGAAAAGATATTCTCACCCGTCTTACTTATTGATGCGTGCCAACGGCTCATTCGCAGTCACTACTGATGCGCTTGAATGTGTAATGTCATGCCGTCTGTACTAGTACAAGGCACGCTACTTGATTACTAGATTCGCAATTTCCGGTTCCTACTTGCTCACTATTCCTCAGGTTGTATTTTTCAAAGCAACCTGTACACCGCGGCTCAGCTCAACATGTGCCTCACTGGAGCTCTAGAGCTTCGGCTTTGGTGAGCTTTTTTGTGGGGTCGGACAACTGGACACATGCCCCTTCCATAAGCTTAAAAGCTGAAATGACTTCATGCTCCTATAGTCAGCAAGTTGGGTTGCTGTGTCCGTCCATCGGAGCTTGTTTGCGTGTGGGCTGCAGAGCCGCGATGCTTCTCTTTCCCACCTTCATTTGCTCAGGAATCTGGTTTCAGGAGCCAGCAGACCAGGTTGCATTGCCTCAAGGCAGAGAGCAAGGCGAAGGAGAACCATTGAGACTCTTTTTGATCCTCGGAAGCCCCTGCATCCCGACCGGTCTGAGAGCTAGGCTGTAGCACATAATTGCACCGGCAGCCGGCAGCCTTCTTTTTTGGCCAGAGGTTGACTCGAAGCATCCGACGTCTCCGTCGGCACACAGCCCTTTGGACAAACGCCGTTCGGAAAACAGGAGTCGCCCCCATCTTAAGCGGGACGGGCGGGAGGGTGAGCTTGAGATGGCGATGACGCATACTGCGTCGGCCCTGGACTACACAAGAACGTTCGCAGAACTGTCATGCACCGGAAGCCTCCTTCTTTTTGGCCAGAGGTTGACTCGAAGCATCTGACGTCTCCATCGGCACACAATTCTTTGGACATGTGTCGCTCGGAAAACAGGAGTCGCCCCCATATTTGCAAGCGATCGTTGACGCGTAAGAGTCCAGGGCCCATACTTGCTTGCCTTCTGGTACTTACCGTGCATCAGTCTCACACGGTGCTCAAAATTCGTGGCTGACACCTTGACGTCGAAGTCGTAGAAACAACGAGCCACAGCTTCTGAGTCGCGGAGGCCAGAAATGAGCCCACGCATTGCTGCGTCTGTCTGAAGAAGCTTCAAGCCACCTTGAGTGGGGGTGGCCAGTGAACAGGCAGGTCCTTTTAGGGCAGTGCGTGTTGCTGCGAAGCGGTTCGACATCGAGGTTCACACCTATGAACGAGATGCTTCGCCGCGCTGTTCCTCCCCAGCTACACAGTTGTGAGCTGGCCTTCGTGGCACGAGGAAGTCTCTGTAAGGCCGACATCAGCCAAATCCTCGAGTTTGACGGGCTAGCAAGCACTGCGGGAACGAAAAACTTCCAGCACAGAGTGACAAGTCGCACTGAAAAGCGAAGCCAGAGGTTCCCGTTGGCGAGGCTGATCTGCTGCTGCGGCTTCTGACCTGGCAAGCCAGTGGGGTATGAATCAGCCGGAGTCAGCAAGACGATTCCGCTTAAACCACCTCCACGCACCCACTGATCAACAAAGATGTCTTTTGAGCTTTGCTTTGAAAAGGCGAGGAGATAGATCCTCATTCCGATCGGCTTGCACGCTTTTAGCGCCGGCCACTCGCCACCTTTTCGATGGGCGCGGCAGCGTCGAGCACTTTGTCGAGTGCTGGCTTTGGCAAGGCCTGAAGTTGTTGCGCAACCCTTCCTCCTTTCTCGTACCGCTTCTGCACCTCCTGGAGCGTGCGGTGCTTCAATCACGGTAAGATCCGTTGCAGCTGCGCGACGCGTCTGATCAACAGCATAAAAGATCACGTCGCGGAACTCACCGCTAAAATTTCACTGGCCCGGCCATCTGCGGGTGAGTGCCAATGTGCCCTCGAAGCCAACTGTTCCTCTCTGCCTCCGGGTCGTTGCCCAGTCAGTGAGCTGGCCAGATTGCGAGCCGTGACCTAAGAAGGACTGTCCAGGAACTCTCGCGCCCGAGGCTGTCAGTTGGCGCCAGCGCTGTAAATCGACACCCTCTTCATGGATGAGACTTCACGGGAAGTGGGACTATCAGGGATGTCGTTGGTGCTGGCTACATTGGCTTCTCTGCTGCTACTGTGTCGGCCCTGACGCTGTGCATCATCCATGGCGATTTTCCCCCTTGTTATTGCGCTTCAGCGCATCAGGCCATGGAAGCCACCGGTCAGACTCACTGCCAAAGTTTGCTTCCCTTAGTCCGAAACAGGGGCATCTTCCACATCTCTCCACTGTTTCTTGAAGTCTTTCAGGAGTCCGAGTCCGAGTGTGCTTTGTGCGAACAACGATAGAAGGAGCGGGGTGTCATCTCCGGTTGTCACATTGCAATCCAGTATCCCGGGAAGTAGGGTTCTTGTTCTCGCCGTTCACATCCTTGCTCTCGCAGCTTACACAGAACACGATGCTCTTATCTCCCAAGGTCTTTGTCGAGCCACCAAGTCCCTTGAATGACGCACCATCTTCACTCAGCAATGGAACTCGAATCTCAACTTCTGCAACTTCACCTCGGCGTTGCGTTGTCACACCACGTACCACCGCAAACCGAACTGTTCGCCCCATCGTCAAGAACTCCGAACACATCTTCACGCTGAAAGATATCAAGCTTGTCAACGGCCATGAAAGCCGTCCCATCTCCCCCTGTCCTTGACCTCCGGTCTTGCAAGCCGGAATCTGCTGCCCGTGACGGTGCAGCCCACGACAGCTCCCCCGAGAGCGACGATCGTACCGATGGCGCTGCTTCCTGATGTACCATCACTTCTTCCAGCAGGTCATTGAGAGTCTCATGAAGCTCTTTGGAGGTCACCGTTGGTTCTGGGTTTCCCTCTACGTTCTGTGACACGATCTAGTCGAATCTAGTCTTCAACCTGCAACTTGAACTCCTCAACCAACACCATGGTTTGCATCGCACCCAATTTCACATCATCAGTAACATTTCGCGCAGTGCTGGAGATCAAGTCGAACGACGCAGATGTTGCACTCTCTGTCTCCTGCGCTGCCTTTCGCCTCCTCTGGGCCTCTTCTTGTTCTAGGTTGTTCTACTACATGCCTGCAATCCTTGCAAAACGTCTTTGCTGTTGCTCGGTTGGAACCCAGCTTGCTAGCTGCTAGTGTTGGGGTGTTGGTACCTTTGTGGGGTCTTTCTTCTCGAATACCTTCTTCTCTTTGCTGACTTGCCCACACACACTTTACAAGTCTTCACCGCATTGGTTCCAAGATAAGAGATGCTCGTACACACCGCACAGCTAATCGGCAAAGGTGGGTTCGGGGGCTTGACCTTCACGGTCTTATGAGCTGATGCTGCCGGGATCGCAAAGCGCTGGCCCTCAGATCCAGCCGCTCCTGTCATCTCGTTGAGCGGAACCTCACGTCTCTCCACGAGTATGTGGTAATTCTGAACCCAATCCAACAAGTCTGCCAAATCCCGCGAGCCAACAGCTTTCAGCGGCCGTCCCCACACACATCCGATGAAGCACTTCCTCAAAGCCAAGTCCTTTGTGATGTCCCACTAGGCACCACTGTCAATGTAGACGCAATCGATGTCATCGGAGTTCGGGACAGCCGTTGCTAGAAAGGCTTGCTTGGTTCCTGGCTTCATGCCTGGCTTGGAATCTTGCTTGCCTCCTTTACCTGGCGCGCCGCGTCCCTTCGGACACTGCGGGTCACCACTCCTGCCCACGCTTCAGGCACTTGCTTCGAGACTTCATCTCCCTCAACTGAAAGATAGCTTCTTACCACAGGAAATCCCTTCTTCCCTTTACCACCTGACAATCCCTTGCCTCTACCTGCCTTGCCCATCACCATATGAGCTGCGCACTGAAGCTGGACTGCCTCAACCGCGGCGTCATGAAAGTTCTCGAAGTCGCAAACCTCCAATGCGTTCAACGCCACGGCAGTTTCCTCATCGGACACTGTCTGCTCTTCTTCATGTGCCGTGTGTCCCGCTGGCTGCCCTGGCAAATCAGTCCAGGCATTCCAGCCTTCATCATTCTCATCATCCGCATGGGCCGCATGGTCATTGTCATACCATGTACCATCCATCATACCCGTCGGTCCTCTGTTCTTGCGATACATAGGCCGTCTCTGCACTGCCGCTCATACCCAGATAAGCTGCTGTTGATGGTTCCACTGCTTGATACCGTACTTTCCAGACCCTTTAGACTGCCATGTGTGAGGGTCCTTCTCATTTCCAAGATTGCGATGTGGAACGGAATCAAGCAACTTGTTGCCGTGCAAATGAATCAAACCGTGATGCTCAGATTCTCGCATAGGTATCAAACTCAGTTATCATGAGTTGCTCATCACGCGACAGTCCGCTCAATTCCAACAACATCCCCGCTCTGAAACTGTCCGAAGGACCACCTCCGGCGTCTCAGACGATGGATTCGCCGTCCTGTCGGCTCAACGGGCCTCGGAGTGCCTGCCCACTCCTGAACAGAGCTTGTGCCTCGAGGGTACCAAGTGCGAAGACAATACAACCAGGGTTCTCAATCCACTGGGCGCTGATAATGCTCTGATCCCAATGACTTTCGCTTTCTGAAATGCATCCCCTCGGAGGCCTTCCATAACCGAACTGTTTCAACCGACCCATCATCGGAGCTATCATGCGGCTGCGTCACTTCGCCGGGTTCTGCCGCGGCGGACCTCTCCGTCGACGGCGCAAAAGGCCCCAGAAATCTTTCTCCGCCAGCTGGAGCTCTCGCTAGCCAAACCTGCCGTGCACTCTGCTTGGATCACGTTGCCTCGATCTACCGAGCCGAGGACTTATCACACTATCTCACTTTGCTCCCAAACCAACCAAATTCAAAGGCCACCAGGAACTGCACCCTGCGCTAGGAGGGGCAAAGCTGCTACCAACTAGCAACGGCGCTCCGGACACTACTTTTTGCGCCTTTAGCTCCAGGGCCCTTCGAGAGGTAAATGCCACGGCTAACATCTATATATATATATACATATATATATATATATATGCTACCCCCCCCCCCCATGTGCCTACCTTTCGTGTGTGTTTGTTGTGCTTGTTTGTTGATTTGGTATACTCATGCATGTAATATGCTTAAGACCTAACAGTTACTAACAATGTCCCGTGAACACCCTCCAACACCAGATCACTGCGATTACTGTTGGTTTCTCACTGAATAGT